TGGAAACCTGAGGCTCAGTAGAACCACCCTTAAAAATCACTGCATAGCGGCTTAGCAGTTGCTCAGCTTGTGGTTTGCTTCATGATTTCCAGCTCCTAATTAATATTATGTGGAATGCCGGCATGGCGGGCGGGGTGGGGGGCGGGTATTTGAGTAAATATTGATTACATGGAACTGGAGAACAAAGAGAGTTTAGTCCTTTTCTGTGTCTTCAGGAAAGCTTTATTTAAAATGTTCCAGACAGGTGAATACTTTCTCATCTTTAAACTTGAAATTGTTATTTATGTCTAAGTTCTGTGTCTAGAAAAGCAACCCTTCCCTTGTTGTTTGGTTGGTTTTATTCACTTTATTTTGGCATACCTAGTCTTTGCGGGTAAAGAACTTTTTCATTTAGAGGGAAAAAAAGCCAACACAATTATAGACCTAAAGAATGGATATTTTCAAAGGTGAGAATTAAAAGAGTGAATTGTATATTTTGGCCAAGTATTATCTAAGAATATATTATAATTCTCTTCCTAAGGCATTGGTGGCAGCAGATAAAGGGAATTGAGGATGAACTGAGGATGGGTGAATGGGTGAGGGAACAGTGCTTACTTAAGAGTTGGCGTTAATCTGGGTAAAGTGTGGGGACTCCAGGAAACAGGGGAAGCCCTCTTGAATGAGTCATTTGAAGTCACATTTGCAGACAGTTTTGTGTGGGCAGCGATGGGGTTTGGGCAGGATGTCCAAACAAGGGTTCTGCCCTTCTGACTCATTTCTCTGATTCACATCTGGTCTCTTAATACCGCTACGTGGCTTTGTCATCCTTGGTGGGTGACTCTGATTGTATGGAATGTAGCAAAAGTGTTTCACAATTTCTAGAAAACTCTCAAAAAGAGGACCAGCAGTTGTTCCTTCATACTTAGTGGGTAAGATTTTTAGATGCTTTTCTTCCATTCATCTTTCACCCAATTTCCTTCAGTCTCTGGTGTCAGATACCTTTTTTCTTTAGGCAGATCCCTCATGTCTCTTCTGTTTCTAACTTCTCCCTGTTTTTAACCTCTCTGTCTCTCCAGAAGTTTCTTCATAGCCTATAAACCGGATCAAGCCTTTTTTTTTTTTTTTTCTTAACTGTGTTTTTAAAGGCCTGGTTTGCAAACTGTTGTTTCATTGAGACGGTCTTTCCCTTAATTCATTCCTGAGTGTCCTATAGCCAGACGATTAAACGTCACCAAAGACCTCCTAGTTACCAAATCCAGTGGACCCTTTCAGTCTTAGCTCTTCCTTGACTTCCAGTGGTGTTGGACACTGCCTCCTCTTTCTTTCCTCTTGGAACATTTGTCTCCTTCAGCTTCCATGCCATCACCCTCCTTGGATTTTCTTCTTGCCTTTGGGAGGGCAGTGTAGCTTCATGGGTAAGAGCCCAGGAGTCAAGGTCCTGTGGCTTCAAGTCCCATCTCTGCTTCTTGCTTGTTTGATGGTCACTTGGGTGACTCGTTTGCTAAAACCTTTCTGAGCCAGTATGTTTCTTTGTCTGTAAGATGGGATTTCCCTGAGATGATCTGTGTGAAGCTCTATGCGTGGTGCCTGGTGCATTGCTACACTCAGCGGATACTAGCTGCCACTCTGATTGTAGGTCACCTTCCCTTTCTTTCTCCTCTGGCTCTTTCCACCCCATTAATATTGTCTTGCGTGTTGGCCTCCTCCAGCTACTACCCGCGTATGCTGACAACTTACAAGCCTAGTGTGGAAAAATGCAAAGCCAGCCATCCTTTTTCTCATCCAAAAAACAGAATCATCCTAAATAGTTCCTGTCTACCCGGGGCCTGTTTCTGTCCCTGCCTTTGTTTAGATCTTCCTTTCCTTCTTTGTGTTGTTAGTTTCTAAGCAGTCTTCTTGTCACTCTTGCACAGTCCATTCCATCGTGTCCACTGCTGCCAGAGGCATATTGCTGTGGAGAGTTGACATTGTTCTTCCCTGCCTGAGTGTCCTCCAGTGGCTTCCTGTTGACTACAGGATGAAGTCTGCACATTTTAGCATGGCTTTTATGCCCTTCCCCTCCCTTCACTGCGACCTTTCCCTTGTTTTTCTTTCAACCTTACTGCTTGTTGAAATACTTAACTCTTTATCCAAAGTACCAGATTGGCCTGGCAAATTCACAGGCAACTTTCAAGAGTCATTGGAATTTTTTTCCTGAATTTTTTCTCTTTTCACACTTCCCAATATAGTTCTCTCAAATGTGCTCACATTGCCCTAATCCAGCCTCTGTGTGTACATATTCTGCTGCACTTTATTAGTTACATGCCTGTCATTTCATACTTAACTTGAGGGATCCTGACTCTTAACTAGTAGTTAGTATAATACTTTGGACGTGGGAGGCATTCAAAAGATGGTGAGTCAATGAGTAAAAAGACAGGTGAACTGCAAGAGGCATTCAGTCCTAAGTTCTCACATTAAGAAAACTTGTGGAGTTTTTTCATTTTTACAATGATATTGATCAATTTGAAGTGGTCTCATTAAAGAGAAGCTGTAACTTGATCTGAGAGAAAGAATTTTCCTAACCCAGACTAATTTTGAAGCATCATCTTCTCAAATCTTACAGATTTCTCTTCTGAACTATAACTCCTTTTATGAAGTTGTCAGTATTCAACCATTCAGTTTCATATGGATTAAGGTATAGAATGAATGGCAGGGAATCTATTAGTCTTTATGTGTCTGTGCTCCTTAGATGGGGTGGAAATGGAGACTAGCCTGGCTGTGGGTGGATTTCCCTCTTGGTGGAGTGAACAGCTCTGGCTTAGTTTCATAACCTCTCCACGAGACAAGTGGGAAAGAGGCTCCCCTTCCCCTTTTCCTAGTTGGCCACAGTCCCTTGTTTAGCTGAGGCACAGAGGGAGTGAAAGCTGCTACCAGTGGTGCTTTCAACAACCTGGGGCTGGGACATCAACCTGAAAATACCTCTTTTTCTCTTGAATTGTATTCTTTTGGCCTCATGATCATACCACTTGACTTTGGAGTTAAGGTCATGTGGGGCTTCATGAGGTCAGGTTTTCTCATAAGTTCTCTCATAGCTGACCCTGTTCAGAGGAAAGAACAGTGTGTTTTCTCTTCGTGAACTAGAGTAAGGATGACTGTTGAAGAAAAAGTTATTCTGATGGTAAGGAACGCCTCAGTCAAGAATATTACAATGTAAGTCATGTAGAGAGATTAGGTTCAACTCTGAATACAGGGAAGACAGCTGGGGATTTATAGCTAACAAGCAGAGTGAGGTCAGTGGATGGAAAGTTACTAAGACGAAACATCAAGTTAGGGGGACTTAATAGGATTCTAAACTGACTTAATAGGATTCTTGCTGAAGGCAGGCCAGGATGATCAGATGTGGGGGGAGGGGGATGAGAAAATTGATCAGATATACAGGGTGCCTTAGTTCATCGGGCTGCTGTAGTGGAATACTATAGACTGGGTGGCTTATAAAGAAAGAATTTCATTTCTCAAAGCTATGGTGACTGGAAGTCTCAGGGTGCCAGCATGTTGGGTGTGGTGAGGGCTGTCTTCTAGACATTATTGTAGCCTCATATGACAGAGCAGAGAGAAGCAAGCTCTCTCCGGATTCTTACACGGATGCTGATCTCATTTTGGGGGCCCTGCTTTTGTGACTTCATCTAATTCTAATTATCTCGCGAAAGCTCTACCTCCTATTTACCATCGTGTGGTGGGGTAGGGTTTCAACATATGAATTTTGAGGGGACACAGATATTCACTTTATAGCAGAGGGTGATCCGATTCCAAAAGTAGGGGTATCCTCCTTAAACTGACTTAGCAAGCTTCTTGCTAGGCAGGCAAAGGAGGCCCAGCGACAAGGATGAGTTGAGAAGAGGGCTCAAGGGAGCCTTTCAAAGTGTGGCCAAAGGGAGAGTCTTTGTCGCTATCTCCTGGATCCATGAGTGCCACTTTTTCAGGAAGCCTAATTTAGTGCCACTACAGAGAGAAGGCCACTGAACTGATCTTTGACACTATGTCCTGGGGAAGTTCTTCACCATGGCTATCTCTCTGTTGTCATCTTTTAAAATTTGATTAGTATTAGGTTATTGTTGGCATATGCAACAGTCAGAGGCTAAGGTGGAAAAGAAACTTTCCTCCTTTTTGGTGACTGTGCTTTTGTGCATTTATAATAAGACATGTGAGATTGTAAACCAGGCTAGCTTTCCTTTTAGCTGTTTGTTTCTCAGTTTAGATGGTACATAAGCAGGAGTTTTGAGGGAATGCAAAAACATTTACCAGTCAAGTAAATTCTGTGAGCCTCCATTTAGCGTAAGATAAACATTTATGGCTCAGTATTAGTAAAACCTTCTGACTCTAAGGATCTAATGATATCACTAACTTTTTTTGAAACATGAAGATATTTTGGTTATTAAAAGCAGTGTATATATATGATAAAGTAATATGTAACAGGAAGCTTTATGAAGAATATCTTCCAATACACCTTTATAAAGTTCTAAATTCAAAGATTTGTATTCCTCTGACACATGAACGATCATTTCAGGCTTTGCTGGGTTATCATAAAGTCCCTAAGTAAGTATACAAAAACAGGACTTAGATGAAAAGGCATGTAACAAGAGCATTGCTTAGAATTGAGTACTCAGGACAGGGTATTAAGATTTAATGCGGGCTTAATATGCTTGTAGATCAAAATGGTGTGAGACTTAATGGGAAGGGAACCTGCAAAGAAGTGCCCTCTGTGAACCAGGAGGTGTTGGTGGGGTGTGGTCACAGAGAAGAGAGAGCCAGCCTTCCCACTGATGGTATTACAGGTGGTCAGGATAGCTTCTGTGCTGAATTGGTCCTGCCAATCCCCATTGTAAATGCTTCACTTCCCAGTTCAAAAGAGGTCACAAATCTTATCAAATGGCAAATTCATTTAATGACTGAATGTGATATCTGGCAAGCGGCTTCCTGTTTGTATTATTTACTTTGTCATATTAGTCATGACATGAATAATACCACTGTGTTTCCTGAATTAGGTTCTCAGAGGCACTGTGACGGACTTCCCTGGATTTGATGAGCGGGCTGATGCAGAAACTCTTCGGAAGGCCATGAAAGGCCTGGGTAAATTTAGCTTCCTCTTTCTAAAGCAAATGTGATATTTGTTTTTCCAAACAAGTCGTTAATTACAGTAAGAATAATTTTAGAATATTTTGATCTGAAATCTGTAGGAGAAGAGACATGTTATGATAACAAAATAATACTATAAACCAAGAGTGTCCAATCTTTTGGCTTCTCTGGGCCACATTGGAAGAATTGTCTTGGGCCACACATAAAATACACTAATACTAACGATAGCTGATGAGCTAAAAAAAAAAAAAAAAAAAAAAATCGCAAAAAAATTTCATAATGTTTTAAGAAAGTTGATGAATTTGTGTTGGGCTGCATTCAGAGCTGTCCTGGGCCACATGTGGCTTGCAGGCCGTGGGTTGGACAAGCTTGCTATAAACCATCCCTAATATTCAGTTTCTAGAACTGAACAGGCAGTTTAATTCAGCCTCTGTGCTTTTGAGCTTGTCACCCTCACCTGTGTGGTAGACGCCGGAGTCAATGAGACAGCCATCCCTGCAGGTGAGCAGCTGTGCAGCTCTGTTCCCAATCAGATATCCCATTCTCATTCTGCTAGTCTCTTCTCTTTCCCCAGCCTCTTTTCTAGTCATTTAACCTCTCTTCTCAAGGATTTCCATGTGTCACTGATCTCCTGTGCTCAGGCTCCTTTTTTTACTACTATTCATGTGCTTTCTGGCCCTGCAAGTCCTTCCATTGCATCCAGCCCACCTTTTCAGACTCATCTCCCATTACTGCTTAATGTGTTCTCAGACCCAGCCATGCTGGCTTATCTGCTGTTTATGAAAGCCCTGTATTTCCCCACTGCTGAGCTTTTCTCTCATTCTAAAAGCTGTCCTTCCTTTTGTCACTGCCTTTCACAATCCTTCCATCCTTTGAGACTTGTGGGTGTCACCTTCTCCCCGAAGCATTCTCCAAGACTCCCTTCCACCTCCTATCAGCTAGGAGACCCTTCTTTGAGTCCCATTTGACACCTAGATCTCTCCTGAGGCACTTGTCACATTTTGCCTTAGCTCACAATTATTTGTGTGTTTTTATATTTCTACCTTAAATTGTAATTGGAAGCCAGAGTCTCTTTCTCTTCTCTCAATCCCCTGTAACACCCAGCACATTGTGCCTCGTGGATAGCTGTTATTTGAGTATCTGTTGCATGAAAAACTAGGTGTACTAAGTTTTGTAAAAGGCAGGAGTATTTTTCCATCTACTTCCCAATATGTTGGGAATAGGGGGTAGAATATATTGGAAACATACCATTTTAATATGTAGTAAATTTTAAATAAACTTTAATAAAACATTTATATATATATGTAGTGTTTGTGTGTGTGTATATACACACATATACATACACATATATATACACACACACACACACACACATATATATATATTTTTCTAAGAGATGGGGGTCTCACTATGTTGACAAGGCGAGTCTTGAACTCCTGGCCTCAAGCAATCCTCCCATCTTGGCCTCCCAAAGAGCTAGGATTACAGGTGTGAGCCACTGCGCCGGCCATAAAATATATTTTATATTCGCATAGGGAGAGGCAAGGAAATAAGGTGACTGGGAAGTGGGTTGCCAAGATCATTGGGAGAGTATGCATGTAGGAGCCAAAATGTAATTGTTAACCATAAATTGCAGGCACAGATGAGGAGAGCATCCTGACTCTGTTGACATCCCGAAGTAACGCTCAGCGCCAGGAAATCTCTGCGGCTTTTAAGACTCTGTTTGGCAGGGTAAGACCACACTTCATCCCAAGAGAGAATGGGAGAACAGCTATCAGTTATAAGACCAGTTTGGAATATACTGATATTCTTTTGTAAGCATCATTTATTTTGTGATTCCGACTTCCCTACTTCTGTTTCTCTTCCACTCTCCTCTAAATTATCAGCTCTTGGGATACAGTGCTTACCCAGCTTATCCTCACATAATTGTTTTTCCTTGCCTAATGCTGTCGACGTGCCAAAAGATCCTGTAGTGAGAACTGTCCCTCTTCTTTTCCTCTGTGCTTCCCACTCACGTTCACATGGATGTCTTACTATTCGTTTTCTAGGTGTAAGCCTGTATTAAAGTATGTTTTGTTTTAACACGGTCACAGTCTTGGTTCCTTTTGTCATGATTTTAACTCATGGATTTTTAATTAGTTGATTTAAATGCTTTTATTTGACTAACAATTCAAAAAAAATTATTTGAATTATTTAAATGAATTATTTGAATTATTTAAATTTAAATGAATTAGTGCATGCATGAAAAACTTAAATATAGCCTTCTGAGTCTGAAAACATATATCAATTAAGAAAACAAATGCAAAGCAAAAAAGGAAGTATTCTAAACACCCATTTTTAGTTGTGTGGTATGCTGAAACTTATAGCTAGGAAGTACTGGGTTTTTTTCATAATTACATAATTTTTTCATAATTACATACACAATTTCCCCATAGGAAAAGATATCACCCAGTGATCAGGAGTCATAATAATGACTATAATCTGTTATGTATTTGAATGTTGTTAGATATTGAGAGAAAAAAAATTATTATGTTTGGGTATAAGAGACTAAATGTCCTTTGTAAATTTCATTATATGATTATTTTTTGGAATTTAAAAAAAGATGTTTCTAGAATAATATTTTTAAAGTACAATAGTTTTAGTCTACTTTTAAAGGTATTCATTTTTTTTTCAAGTTAAGAAAAACATCTTTTAGAAACAAATATCTTGACATGTAAGTGGGTTTGCCTTAGTTTAAGATTTTGATCACAGGTTAAAAGTATGTTATTCAAGGTTATGGGGTTTTGTTTAGCTCATGGGCCTTCTACTTGGAGATGGCAACATAAAGAATTCATTAGAGCAAAGGGCTGTCATTCATATTTAAGAAGAATCTTATTACAATTTCTGCTGGTTAACAAATTTGTATGTTCTGTGGGTTAGGATCTTCTGGATGACCTGAAATCAGAACTAACTGGAAAATTTGAAAAATTAATTGTGGCTCTGATGAAACCCTCTCGGCTTTATGATGCTTATGAACTGAAACATGCCTTGAAGGTAAAAAGGATGAGTGAAAGGAACATTCTTGTCATAAATAGTATTATTTTGTTTTGGTAATCACTTCCTCTTATTTGTTATATTTAAAACATTTTATCTGATTATTTCAGTGAGAGTTGCTTGGAAGACAAAAGTGGGAGGCAATAAGCAGTAAAGGAGGGAGAAAATTACAAGTGTGTCATTTCATCTTTTTGTAGATTTAAACTCAATAATACTGGGCTACTTAAAATTTTAATATTTTTATAGATTTTTGTATTTTATTTTCATGCCTGTCTTCTGATTTTGAGGATGTTTAAAAAATATTACAGATGAGCTATTTTGTCTTTTTAAATGGAAAATTGCCTGATTAGGGAACAATAATATTGCTCATCATTTTAGGTTAAAAGGTAAAGCGTCAGAGAGAATTTTCACGATAAATATTTTCTCATACTCTTTCCTTCTTTCCTGCCCCTCTAAATGCTAAAATGAAGTAGCTGGTAAACTTGCTATAATTTCAGTTGCAGCGAAAACTAAATGTGTATTCCGTTGACTGGTGTTTGGAATGTTGTATAAATATGATAGTATTGACACATTTGTTTAGGCTCATGGGACAGGAAGTAGTTCAGTTGTTAGCTGTTAGATTTTGAATGGGCACACTGAAATTTAACAAGGAAATAATGTTTCTCAGGGATTCTTACTGATGGAGTGGAGAGGAGAAGCGTCATCCTGATAGGAGCTGGTTTGTGCTCAGTCTCTTCATTTTCCTATGGTGATTCTTTTGGAATAAACAAAAATCTTAGGTTATTGAGAAAAGTACTTTTTTTGCTAAGTGCTTCTGAAATGTCAGCAGTAGTTGAAATTCTGCCAGAGAATGAACTCTAGGTTTTTCAGTGCTTGATTTTTGGCAAAGTTAGAAATATAAAGAGAATAAGGCTTAAATATACTATCTTTTTAAAAAAATTAAGTTCAGCTGTATTGTTGCATCTCTTAGTTTAATGATGTAGATGTGATTTTTAAAAGCAGAAAAAGGAAAGCCAGCTAAAATGATTTTTCAAAAATCCAGAAAGCAACTCCCAATTCCCTTATACTGTTCTAATTCCTAATAATTAAGCAATGCTATATTTATTGTTACCTTTGATGTAGAATTTTCCTGTGACTGCACAGCACTTAACTTGGGGGCCAGGGGTTTATCTTTTGAGGTGCATATTGTTTAAGTATCAGTGCTCTTCCGCGTACATTTATGCAAAATTTTCATTTTTACTCTTTCAGTTTTAAAAAATTACTTCAATTTTCATTAAAATGTTTTACTTTTAAACTAGAATTAAGTGATCAAATTAAAAGTTACAAATTTATGTAACTGGTTATGTATATGTACACATATATACACACATACACATGAGAAACATTGTTTTCCATTAGACAAAACTAATAAAATGGTCTTTGGAGAGAAAATCATTTAACATTTGTTATTTCTGTAACTAATGGAACTCATATACAAAGAAATCCATGTTATACTGGATAATATTTATATAACTGTGCAATTTGGGTAACATCTATTCTGGGAAAATAACTTTCTTTCAAATCTTATTGACATATTTTCTCTATTAAAATCTCCAAACAGGGAGCTGGAACAGATGAAAAAGTACTGACAGAAATTATTGCTTCAAGGACACCTGAAGAACTAAGAGCCATCAAAGAAGTTTATGAAGAAGGTAAATGTTTGTGAGTTATATTTTGACTTCACCTCCACTGTTACTTCCTTCATTTCTCTGATTTGAATGCAGTCCTTTGTAGGTATGGGAGGCAGGCAGTAAATGATGGTTGAATGAATGAATGAATGAATGACCTGCAATTCAAGCTATTTTTTCCTTCACTAAGGAAAAGACTGTCTTGTTATCCTCTTGTATTTTAACATTTTATAAGAAGCTGCTGCTGAAGATGGAGTTTACTTTTGCATAGGATTTGCAATTAGTGTAGGGATATACAGGTTGTCTTTATGTTAACATTAAGGTAAAAATGGTTTTTCCTCTTTTAAAAATATTTAGCTTTATGTTAGCAAAATTTAGGAGTTATATAAAAAGTACTTTTGGAACTTTGGAAGAGAAACCTAAACCCTTTCCCACATCAGAGTTGATAAAGTACATTTGAGTAAATGTATGTTGTCTTAGTTAATGGCAATGCTTGAATAAAATACTCTGCATTTTGATTTTTCTTTTTAGTATGCCTTTTTCAAGAACAGAAATCTGCATTTCAGCCTGAAATATGTCCCATGAATAGAATCAAGAAAATGAAATAAATGTAGAGGTAGAGAGTCCTTTTCTTACCAGATTTCTTGTAGCCAGCTCTTTCTTCTGCCTGATTGAGGAGGGTCAGACTATCCAGTTTCTCAGCTCAGTCAACAGACTCCAAGCCTAGTGTCTTTTGCTAGGGACTGTATCTTGCCATTAGTTTGCTAATCTTAGAAATGGCTTTGTTAACCCAGCAAGTCAAAACAGTGTGATAGTTTAGAGCAACTGTATAATTACCTTTCTAAAGGGCTGAATCTCTCTTTCCTGCTTCTCTTTTTATAGGCAGTAAGTTCCCAACCACTAAGGCAGAAGTGATACATGTATCTCAACTTTGAACTTTATTTGATGTACTATTCAAATATCTCTTTCTGGGGATGTTAACGTTGATGAGAACCTTTGTGCTACTGGATTACAAATGGTGTGCTCAAAGGGGGTAATAACTGTGGTCTGTCCTACTCAGCTGTGTAATTGAGCACTGGCTGTGTGTCTGGCAGTGTGCTAGTTGTCATGAGTGACAAAAGGTGTGCATAACCCAGCTCCTGTCCTCAGGCAGTTTGCATGCAGTCTCCTCAGGGGTGACATGACAGAATGACTGCAATATTTAAAGGATAGGAAAATTCAAACTAAAGTAAAATACCAATAACATTAAATGCAAAAGTGCATTCAGAAGAGAGAGGTCATCATAGCTTTGGATGTTAGGGAGACTTCTTGGTGCAAATCACACATGCAGCAGAGTTTCAAGACTAGGTGAGTTTACAAAGTGTCCATTGACAGATGGACACACACACACACACACACAAACACAGACACACACACATGGGAGTACTATTCAGTCTTAAAGAGGTGAAATCCTGTCATTTCAACATCATGGATAAACGTGGAGGACATAATGCAAAGTGAAATAAGCTAGGCACAAGGCATAAGCTATGCATGATCTCACTTCTTATGTTGAATCTAAAAAAATTGAACTCATAGAAACAGATAGTAAAACAGTGTTTGCTAGGGTGTAGGGGCGGGGTGAATGGGAGAAAGGACTGGTGATATATTGGTCAAAGCATACACAATTTTAGTTAGGCAGGATGAATAAGTTCTGGGGATCTCATGTACAGCATGGTGACTATAGTGAAAGTATAACTGTATTATGTGCTTGAAATTTGTGAATAGAGTACATTTTAAATGTCCTCACCACACGCAAAAATATAGACTATATGAAGTGATGGATATGCTGATTAGCTTGATCGTGGTAATCATTTCACAGTGTACACATATATCAAAACATCATGGTGTATACCTTAAATATATACAATTTTTATTTGTCCATCATAACTCAATAAAGCTGGGAAAAAAAGACGATGCATTTTGAGTAGGTAGAAAAGGTATTTTTGGTGAGGTACTGCCTGTCTTTAATGGCATGGAGACTGGACTGTGGAGAGTATATTGAGGGATGGAGAGGGCCTGGCTGCCGTGGAGGATGTGTGCATGTCCATTGTGGGAGGTAAATGGAACAAGCGAGGTTAGGCTCAGATATAGATGGTTTTGCATGACTGGATTAGGAATTTGGACTTAATTCAAAGGTACTGTAAATTCCTGAATGGGCAGTGGAGTGCTGAAGGAACAATTGAGGGAGGAAGGAGATTTGAATAGAAAGGCTAATTGGACAGTTATGTGTATGGGAGGTAAGCTAGGTATTTAGGAATTATGGCCCAACCTAGGTTAGTGAGAGGTGTGAGGAGGATAAATCAGGGACAGGAGAAACATGTGATAGGATTTAATGGTTAATATATACAGGTATTGGCATAGAAGAAAGAATTAAAGATTCCTACAAGGTTTTGTATTTGGGTAACTGGTTGAAATAAACGCATAACTCTTCTGGGCCTTTTAAAATAGAAGTTTCAGGCTTTTAAAGTTCGTTTGCTTTCACATAATAATTACATATTTAAATACCTTAGAGTAAGGCCTCCTTTCCTTTAATAGCAACTGTTTGAGAGTAGTGAGAAAGACTTGTAGACTCTTGTAGATCCCAATTCTCCACTTTTATATGGCCTTACGTTGAGCAGCTGGAAATAGAGGTGGGAGGGGGGCGTACTTTAAAATATCATTGCTGTCTCTCAGAGTTAACTTTATTTCTGCAGAGGAAAATACCTTATTGGGGGAGTGATGGCCATACCCAAAGAAATAAATCCCAGAATATTAGAGGATGGAAGACATTTGGAAGCTAACTATGTAAAAGATTTGAAAGAAAGCAAAACAGAATTTAAGGTTATGATTGATTGTGTTTTGGAGACTTTCCAGTACCATCATGTGTCTCTAGACTAATGACTACATTGGTCGAGAGAATTTCTAAATGGCTGAGTCTTGATTTAAGTTTGAATTGAGTGCCTTTGGGAGCTTTAATTCATTTTTGTCCAACCACTTACTGAAAGCATTTGCTGAGAGCATTCAGAGATGGAATAGAGGGAATTTATGTTAACCAAATATAATATTTCTTCTTTTATGTCGCTTTCATTTGATTAATGGGGCAAGATTATTTTTCTAGTTGAAAGAAGATGTAAATAAGTATGAAATTATTTTGTTGCAGAATATGGCTCAAGCCTGGAAGATGACGTGGTGGGGGACACTTCAGGGTACTACCAGCGGATGTTGGTGGTTCTCCTTCAGGTATTGGGTGGAGATGAATTACAGTTTTATTAAAAAGCCTGAAGTTGGACTGGGCTGAATCTAGTTAAGTAAGGTCACTTAAAATTCTTTTAATAGTTTGTGGTACTTGCTGATTCTTACTGCGATGATTCTGGCTGTATGTCGCTTGTGCTTGTTTGTGTTTCAGAATATCTGGTCTAAATTCTTAACAGCTAACTCATACATTTGTTTTAGATAGTAGTATCTTGTTCCTTTCACAGAATGATAGCAGTATCTTGTTCTTTCATAGAATTTAAAATCAGGAGGGTCATTATTGGTTTTGGACAGGCTGTGTGATGATAATGTGAAATAGTGCAGGATTGATCTTAATAAAAGCATATTATTCCTAGAGAAAGAGCTTTATTGAATAACCATCAGGTGGAACCATTTTTCCTTTTGAATGAGAATGCTCTACAGTTCAATAATGTGACATATTACCTCTCATAGGCTAACAGAGACCCTGATGCTGGAATTGATGAAGCTCAAGTTGAACAAGATGCTCAGGTGAGTGATGCCCAGGATATGATGACTTTATTATGTTGTAGAAATGAAGAAGTAATTCATGGTAATGAAAAAATCACAATGTATGTTATAATAGCTGCTAGTGATAATCTTGTTAATGGGTTCTTCACATAGCATAAGACCTACGTAAGTAGCTTTTTCTTATTCTGACCTGGTCAGCAAAATATTTTACCTTAAAGCTGAAATGAAATAAAATAAATTACATAGTGAGTTCCAACTAGACATGGTTTTTTTCTGTTTTGTGATTATTGAACAAAATAGAGAATTTTACAAAAAACAGGTGTTACTAATTCCATTGCCAGTTATGCGGTGGGTCTCTTAGCAGGAGAAGATAAAGAAGAAAGAATAAAGTATTTAACAGTAAGTGGTGTTTAATTATGTAAGAGATGACAAGTTATTTTGGTATTAGGAAATTTCTCTGCATTTGCTTTGACAGAATTTTAAGTAGAATTGGTCTTCTGTCAGCTGCTTTTTAGTGACTCCAAACGAAAATTTCCTCTTAAGTGACTTTTAATCCCCTATAAAGTCTCAGCCTGGTTAATAAAACAATTATTAAAGTATAGGAAAGGAAATTTGAAACATGAGAGTTGAAAACTGGAAATTGGTAATAAAGGAATTACTTGGGTTCCTAGAACCACCAATCATAGACCTCTTTCTGGTCACATGTTTCAATTAAGAGAATACACAATTCTTGGTTGTTTGTCATGTATCATTGAAAAAGGAAGAGACATATTCACTCCTCCAGTGGAACAACCCATGGATGTGCAATCTCACTTTGCTAACAGGAAAGAGGAGAGAGGTTATTCTTTTGGGTAGGGTGATTTTATAATGGTTTCAGAATGCTGTCATCTGTCTAGCTGGAGAGAAAAAAAGAACTGAATGTTTACTGAGGGCTCTCTGTGCAGTATTTGACTCTTGCTTCACTCTAAGAAAATGCAAGCCGATTGTGTCCAGCCCCTGATTATAACCTTCAGACTCTCTGGTGGTTCCTTTGTCCTCAGGATAAAGTCCGGGTTCCTGAATGGGTTACAAGCTCCTTTGTTATCTGTGTCTTGTTTACTTATGCCTCCAGCCTCTCTCACTTGGTCTCTGTGCCCTCTTGCCCCTCCCACCCCTCTTCACCTGAGTCCTCTTCAAGAGTCACTCTTCAGCTTAGATACTTTAGAGTTAGGTGCCCCTCACAGGGAAAACCATAGCCCCGCCCCCCCTCCCCCCCCACCAGGCTTCCTGTCACAGTTCTTTCCACCTTCTCTGGAAGCCACCTATTTACTTGACTGCCTTCCTGGGCACCCTGAGCTGTCAGTTCAATTGTGTCCTCAGCTTCTGGCACAGAGTAGGTGCTCAGTAAATAACTGATGAATGAATGAGCACATAACTCTACCAGAGAGGGGCAGTTTCCCTTTTATGGATAAAGAAACAAGCCCATGGCTTCCACTGAATAGCAGTGGAGTTGGAATTCCTAACGAGGCCTGTCTGACTCCAAAGAGGTTCTTCTCTTCCCTAGAAGATAGTCAGTGTCTTGAATATTAACCTATTTCCCACTATAAGAATCATTCACTACGCAGATATTCACGTGTCTTCTTGAATATTAACGTGCCTCTCTGATGTTTCTCTAATCATCTAAGGGCTTATTAACATATCCAACTCAAAGCACAGATCTAGCTTAAACTCCACCTTCTTGCTCGCGCGGAGAGTGCTGGAGAGAACCCTACAGGAGTTGTACTGCTGCTTCAGGGGCTTTGGTAGTGAAGCGTGGTGCTCGTACTGCTTCCTAACACGCCATCTTTTTTTGTGGCTTTGCTAGAATGATACGTCGCTGTTCGTCATTCTACTGTCAAGAGTAGCAATAGGACTTCTGGGAGCTCTTTCGGCTCACAGTGTAGGAAACCAACCTCTAGTCTCTCACATGTCTGCAAGTGCGAGCGCTGCCATTAGCACAGCAGAGGCAGATTCCCGAATACGTCGACTGGTGCTAATGACGAGCCATTGGCTCTGCAGGCGTGAGGCGCTGAGGGGAAAACTAACATCTTTAACTTGTCTTTCATTG